TTTCATCGAATTTCTCAATACTCAGGTATGCATATATCGCTTTTCAGACCAGTGACTTATCCTTTATATAGCTCGGTCCTTATCGTCAGCGAACAGCTGATGGTCATTATGCGATTGGGGTTGAAATCCTTCTTAAAACCCTATTTGGGACCCACCCTGGAGAGCAAATCGAGTACCAGCACTTCTTCCAGGGCCTTCGTCTTCCTATGGCTGCAAATCCTGATTTTGACCTACTTAAGGTCTGTTTTCCCGATTATATTGACATATTACTTAGCCAATACACATAGATCGCTGTTTCTCATCCTGGTGGTCCTGGCACTTTCATCTTGCATGCATTCACAACAACTATTCATGGACCTGACGATCTCATCCCCCATCTCATTGTTCTCGGCCCAGCTGGCAGACCCCAGGTCATTCGCTCGATTGACTTGACAGACCTAGTAGAGGGGTTTCTTCGTCGTGCAGGTAACCCCTGTCCCGAACGATTAACAGCTCTACAGCCTGCACTGCACAAGTCAGTCGAACTCGCTGGTATGGACTCGCCAGCCTATCGCAGTCGGGCCCTGTATAGAGCTGCGACAGGCAGTTCTCATCTTGCTCTTCGCGAATCCGAGTGAGTGGTCACCCTTAGCTTTGTAGGGACTGATAGCCCTGTTTATTACGAGCAGGCTGTGGCTCGTGCAGGACTGGCAGCTGCTGGGGCAATCTGTTTTCGTGGATGCAGTCGTGAAGCCTACCTTCCCATGGCCTTCCTAACTTCCCTTTATGAACAGACCTACCCACTTACCGATACGAGTGGCTTTACAGTTACAAGTTTTGAAAATGCAGTAGATAGTTGGCTTATGGTTGGTATTTTATCAGCCATTGGTAGTTATTCCATTGCTTAATCACGAAATATCAGCCAGACACCCCATGTATGGGGCATTTATATTTTTTTTGTATTGTTCAGGCTAAAGGCAGTACCTATGTACTTAAGGTTTTGTTCTAGGATGTCTATCATGGTGTAGTTGGCTAGTCTGCTTCTTGATGCTGAAAAAGATTTGGAGGTGGATAGGTGATACTGCTTGTTCAACCCTTCTGAGGGGCAATTGTTAAAAGTATCACCTATCTCATTTTGTTAAATGATTACATTATTTTTAAATAACCTTTTATTTATTTTCTCTAAGCCTTTTTTCCCTCTAACTGCTGCTTCTATGAATTATACTTTGTCATCTTTTATTCTTTTCTATCTCTTTCAATATCTATACAGCCTCTAATCAGCCTCGTTACTAGCTGGGCCCCGTGGGACTGCCCGAAACTGCTCGAGAGTCCACGCCGTAAAAGGCAAAGTTGTTCCCCGGCTTACTGTGCCACATAGCAGTGTAGTGCCATGCAATTCATCACAGCGATGTGCGAGGAACGACGCTGTCGCCTGGATTACCTTGACCCAGAGCCGCACATCCACAAAATTCCCACCACCATATGTCGGCCATTTGGCGGGATCGTCACCGGCAACTGTCGAGTGGCGTAGCTGATACTCCTGTGTTGCGGGTTTTGTACGTGCCACTGTGCGCTCGACATTCCATGAGAGACCCCAGCCGGTATAGGTACCATCTGTATGAGTCCATCTATATGCGCATTAGATAACAGTCCATATAAATGTCAGCCACTAACCCAGCATAGTTCTCCGAGTATAGTGCCTCAGCTGGAGCTCGCTCGTGTTGTGGAAACGTAAACTCGGAATTTGGCAGCTTAATACGGTAGCCAGCCCCTGTCTGGAGTTAGAAATCCGTTGATAAGTGCATATATCTGTCACCCACCTTCGGCAATGTTGCGCGTCGCCATGCGCGGTAGGCCAGCAGCGCGGATTTTGTCGTCAATATTGTACATCATGTCAGATGGGAGAAATGTCCAGGCAAGATTCCATGTTAGTGTCGCAAGCCCGATACAGTCGAGATCATGCTGTGCCATCATTTCTGGGCTGCGTTTCTTGACGAAACTTTTGGCGAAGTTGGTTGTTGGTGCATCACGCCTGCCAGCTGTCGCACCTGCCTGGGCCATCCTGCCTGGGTGGGTCGGCTAGAATATATAACTAAGTAGGAGCCAATTGCTAATCAAAAAACTCACCCGGACATTGCGCCGCTCGTCACATGCTATCGCGACTGTGTTACGAGCCCAGGTATACAGCTCCTGTGCATGTTCAGCATCAACGAGAAGGCCGCGCAGGACAATGAGCTCGATCTTGATATTGCCTGGGGTAGCACCAGTCTCTATTTCGTCCAGTTAGCTAAGGCTACAGCAGGGAGAAAACTCACCATCATGACTAGCGAAAATGACTGACTCATCGGGTGGAACGACATAATAGCCATGTGCCTCATCGCAGATGACATCATCTGCACGACGGAACTGAGTGTCAGCTAATACCCTGTGTCGCTTGACCTCATCATCAGCTGGTGAGAGCCAGTCCCGCCAGACGATCTTCGGATTGTGCCACGAATTAGGTGCAGATGGGTCATGATTCGCGATAAAGTCGGCCAGTGTGCGCCGAGGGGTATTGAGACCCATATCGCGGATCTGAATGGTTAATAAATTGGGGTGTCTGATTCGATTTGGCTGTCCACATACCATATGTCGTTTTTGTCGATGCTGTGGCTGCTGTTTCACATTCTTTCGCGCCACTTTCAGTCGCTTATTCAGCTCGGCAAGAGCAGAAACAAGAGGAGCAGATGGAGACTGCAGCCCATTGTCAATAATTTGCTGCAGCTACGAAAGAACTGGTAAGTAAAGCTAGGACCTCAATAAACAGGGCTTACATTTGTGAGACGAGGATTTAGCCTGCCAACCTCGGCAACAAGCTCGTTTGCCCCAATAGATGTGGCATCCTGGATTCCAGAAATACGAAGAATAACTTCAGGAAGTGCCAGGAATTGACGAGCTATGGGGACATCCAGATCAGATAATAGATGGGGCTATTGGGTAGGATAAACAAACCAGCCAGAGTTTCGTCTGTCTGTCTTCCAGTTGGATGAGATGGCATAACCAGAGATGAAAACAGGGCAGCAGAGTCAGGAGTTCCAGAAAAGCCAGCTAGAGAGCAGCAGAAGATGGGTTGACGAGCAGAAGATGAGAGACAAAGGCAAGAAGTATTGTGACTCGTCACACCCTGAAGATAGGCCACTTGGCCCATTTTAAGAGGTATATAGACATGGATTCATGGTATTGAGAGTATTCTATAGTCAGTCTAGGCCCTAATAACATTAGCTTATATGTTTTTAGGCTAAAAAGTAGTGATTAGAGATTCCTCTCGATCTCGGCCGTCTCTGGGCCAAATCCTTCGGTTGTGAACGCGTTCTGTGCGTCTTGTCGGCCCCGATTACCCCTCCAAATTTCGTGGCGATCGGAGCTGCCGTTGGAAAACGCGAAGCGTTTTTCTGTGGGTGCATATATTGTGTATATACATTTCGGCTGTATTTACACAGATAAATATATAGACTCTGTAGTAGTCTATAGCTATGAATGGCTTTTGAATTATATTCAGTAGCCATCTATTTATGTGCCCTAACCTCAAACTTAAATGGGCAGAATACGATTATTAGACAGCAAGCAGATAATAGTGGTATTGGCTATATAAAATTAACAGGTGCTTGAAATAGCTAGATTGTTTCTGGTAACTGTATGATTATAAGGCCTCCACATATATATATAGTAGCATGAACATCCAGCCAGTAGTTTGATTGTTTGACTCAATATTGTCAATTGGACACCAAATCAATAAACGAGACCACTACACAAAATCAGCATATACTGGTATACACTGTAAGTAGTAGCCTCTAAACCAATAGCCAGTACTGTATGTATGACAGCTACTCTCTGTTCTGCTCCTCGAGCTGGGCTAGCAATTTTTCTACACATACAATCAACTTTTTATCGGTCAAGCTGGCTGCCATCTCTTCAGGTGTTGCTGGTGTTGTACTGTGGCATTTTGAGGGTGCAGGTGCTCCACTAATAATGGGACCATAAGGTTTGGCCCATAAAAAGCAGATTGCAGTAAATGTACTATATTCAGGATCGCTCTCTAGGTTATGCTTGAGTAAATAGATCATATTATATAGCTATGACATACCAGGCAGTGGTGTCCTCCAGGCTGTTTGGGCAATTTTCGCTGCTTTAGCATAACGATTGGTCTTGGCACTCCACGTAGCTGCATCCCATCCCAGTGCATGTACTACTGCAGCATCCGAGCATTGATACCCATGTGAATGAATGCGGTCAACAATGCTCTGGGCAGCATTGAACCGCCGGACAAGATCTGTCAGACTAGTTGAACGGACACCCTGCACAAAAACTCCTGCCTGTCGCTCCTCTGGGCTGTCCTGATAGAGCACATCGGCCAGCAGTGATGTACCGGCCAGTAGACTATGCAGGTCGAGAATGGGTGGCTGATGAATAAATAGAACAGCGAAATGATAGGAGAGGTTGATGTGTATTGGCCGGCGAATTTCGGCAAAGGCTCGTGCAATGGCGTTTTCCGGATCAACTGCAGGAATAGCAGCAGAAGTTGCATGTTGCTGGTCCAGAGCTGTCAGCCAGCCAAGTTGCCGGAAACCATATTCCGGTTTACGATAAGTGGTGGGGTCAAAGTCCAGAATCCGTGTAGTGGCCAGTACATAGTCTGTTTCAAGCCCAGCAATAATATCGCGGATATGTGCATGTTCGGGCGAGAACAGGCTGTGAGGTTGAATTGCTGTCTGTATAATTTTAAGACCATCATTTGCCCAGATAAAAGCAATCCTATCGTCATTCTGGATCTTGTGTCGTGGGACAGCGACAGAATCTATAACTGTGCTTGCAGTCGTAAGTCCAGCAGTGTCCTTGACAACAAGATGAAAGCTAATGGACTGTTGATCTAGTGGTTATATTGAGTATTCGGTTGACAGAATATGCCACTCGCTTGCTTCTTACCCAGGATATGCTGATCGGTCATTCGAATATGGCAGGTGACAGGCCTGTGACATCACATTATGGACGAACTTCTTGAAGCCATTGGGCCCACTCATGGACCTGAAGTATTGCTCCAAGCCTTTTATACTCACTTCAATCGTTTCAAAACAGCAGTTGCTGACATTGTGTCGACTCCTACTGATGCTGTGGTTATTGCTCGTCTAGGAGACGATCTTGACGAGTTCGCAGCAATATTGAATGAGGTCAAACTTTATATTCAGTAGGGGACAGCACAGGATTCACTTCCTTTCAGAATACTCAACTCTTTCCTCCAGACGAGCTTCACACTATCCAGACGAGTATTGGAGAAATGCAGCTCGATATTCGACTCTCATATCAAGACTCAGTCGATGCCTCTCATCATGGACATCCTGATCCTGTGCATATCGAATATCCTGATGGTCCTGGAAGACCTCGTATCCATATTGATGAGGACTTTCTTTGTTTTGCATATGCTCATCGTACCACTGCTGGTATTAGTCGCTTCCTCGGTGTCAGTCGCACAACTGTACGAAATGCTCTGCTCGGATATGGTATTGTTACCCCACAAGATAATCCATTTACGACACCTGTTATCCCCCCCACCGATTCTATATCAGTCAATCCGACTGACGATGACGAGCTTCTTGAACCTGATCTGTCCATGCAGGAGGAACTACCTAGCGAGATTGCCATGCTTGCTTATCCTGTCTCCTATACTGGTCCAATATCTGATCTCACCGATGATGAGCTTGATAATCTCATCCTCAGGCTGCGTACCCACTTTCGCCGGGCAGGCATCCGCATGTTGCATGGCATGCTACGAAGGCTCAATCACCCTGTTCCTCACGAACGTATTCGCCAGTCTCTGCTACGAATTGATCCAGTCCGCCGTATTTTTGAACGCATTCGCATCCGCAGACGCGAATATCATGTATTGGGCCCAAATTCACTATGGCATCATGATGGGCAGCATGGCGAGTATCTCTTTGACCTGTTAACCGTATATTCGAATATGTTACAGGTCTAATTCGGTGGGGCATTGTGATACATGGCTTTATCGATGGCTATTCACGCCTTATTACGGGCCTGCGGGCAAGCGATAACAACCGAGCCGAAACAGTTCTTGACCTGTTCCTGGATGCTGCAACAGTTTATGGTGTTCCATCGCGTGTTCGTGGCGATCATGGAACAGAGAATCTCTATGTCGCTGCGTGGATGGAAGATTACCGCGGTGTACTGCGGGGCTCGTATATCTGGGGCAGGTAATATATATGATATCTATTCGACTAGCATGTCTAACTATTGCTGCAGAAGTGTGCATAATATCCGTATCGAACGACTCTGGGTTGATGTTACTGCCCAAGTCGGGGCTACCTGGCACGAACGGTTCACAATACTCGAAATCCGATATGGTCTTGATATCAATAACACTGCACATATCTGGCTACTCCATTTCCTCTTTCTGGCTACAATCAACTCCGAACTTGCATTCTTTGCCGAGTCTTGGAACGAACATGATATTCAAATCCGCCGAGGGCCTAGTCGCTCACCTGTTAGCATGTTTGTCTTTGACATGTATGTTAATGGTGTCCGTGGGGATGCTTTTACCAGACGAGGAGGAGAATATGGAAATTGAGGAATTGGAGGCATATGGAATTGACTGGGAGGGGTTGCGCGATGATCTGGTTCTTCGGTCACAATACGAGAACAATTCAAACCAGGAGGCAGCAAGCTCGTGGGTGCGTCAAACAGGACCACCACCAGATTTGAGCGAGGTCTTTGTAGATCCTCCCCTCGGAACTCTGACCCACGAGGAAATAGGTGACCTACAGAACGAGGTTGCAGGCTTGATAGGTAGTGGTAACGATGATGATATCGCAGCCTTATGGATTATGGCTCTCGCACGAGTCCGTAGTTTATATCCTGATAGCTTTTAATGTAACTCTGTTCTATTACAAGTTCTGTTCGTATCTAAAACTATTATCTAATTGGCTACTGATTGTAATTGATGGTAATTGATGGCTATTTGATGGATCATATTGTCAATATCAAGAATATGACAGCAGGACAGACATGTTTGGCGGAGGTCATGTGACCTCCGTCTAAAACCTGTGTATCATAGGTGTCAAACTTGTCTGGAGATGTGTGGAAACAACATATATTAGACTTTGACCCGCAATTTGATGTATGTAACCAGCTCTTACCTAGCAAACCATGTACAATACTGCATGATGTATTGGGCTGATAATTTATAGTGAAAAATGCTTTTATAGATCTCTTGTACTTCCGCGGCAAGGTTGTAGTCCCCAAAGACAAGGACCTAAGGAGGCGCATCATCGAGCTCTGCCATGACACGCGAGTCGCCGGACACGCCGGTCGGTTCAAAACCCTAGAGCTGGTTTCGCGCAACTACTGGTGGCCACAGATGTCCTGCCATATCGGACGCTACGTCGCGACCTGCGACTTGTGCTGCCGCACGAAGGCCCTCCGAAGGCTCCCGCACGGAGAGCTCCACCTGACCGAAGTCCCCCCCGAACGCTGGCACACTGTCACGGTGGACTTCATCGTCGAGCTCCCCGAGGCTCATGGGTACGACGTGGTGATGGTAGTCGTCGACGCTCTTGGCAAACGCGCTCACTTCACTGAGTGCCATACGACAATAGACGCAGTCGGAGCCACCCGGTTGTACTATCGGAATGTCTGGAGGCACCACAGAACCCCCTGAGAAGTACATTTTGGACCGTGGTTCGCAGTTCATCGCTGACTTCACACGCGAACTCTGGCGCTTAATTGGCATCAAACCGGCTACCTCTACGGCTTACCACCCGCAAACTGACGGACAAACCGAACGCGTTAACCAAGAGCTCGAGCAGTATATCCGGATCTTCACCAACTACCAACAAGACGACTGGGACGAGCTTATCCCTGCCGCTGAGTTCGCCTATAACAACCACGTTCACTCCTCCACTCAACAGGTACCCTTCATGACGGACACTGGTCGGCTCCCCCGAATGGGTTTCGAGCCAGGCGCCCGCTCAGAGTTGGAGTCGGTGAACGAGTTTCGCGACCGGATAGCTAACGGCGTCTCCGAGGCAAAGGCCGCGCTCGTTAAAGCCAAAGACGAGTATAAACGGTACTACAATCGGAAACTTTCGGACGCTCCGAATATTCAAATTGGTGATAAAGTTTGGCTGGACGCTTCTGACATCAGAACGACTCGGCCCTCCGAGAAGTTCTCCCACAAGCGCCTCGGACCGTTCAAGGTGCTCGCAGAAGTTAGCAAAGGTGCCTACAAGCTCGACCTCCCCCCGCGTTACTCCAAGCTCCACCCCGTCTTCCCGGTTGTTAAGCTCGAGCCCGCTCAGAACGACCCCTTCAATGGACGACCCGGCTACAACGAACCGCCCCCCGAGCTAGAGGACGGAGTCCCCAAATGGGAAGTCGAGGAAATCTTGGATGCCAGGATAAGGTATAAGCGTCTTAACTACTTCGTCAGGTGGAAAGGCTACGACGCCTCACACGACTCGTGGGTTCGGTTCGACCGTGTCTTCGCGCCAGACAAGATTGCGGACTTCTATCGGAGGTACCCGGGTAAACCACGGCACATCGCCTCAGCGACCTTCGACTCCTTGCCCTTCGAACTATGCGTCGGGACGCCGCATTCAAAGGGGGGGTGATGTCAGGGGAACCCCCGCTTCGGCCTCCTTCAGACCCTCCGAACGCATCCGAGGCGCATCCGACCGGCGCCCCCTTGGACGCTCCGACCCACCCCGACCATCGTCCACGGCCTCCTTCACCCGCACAATCACCGATCCGTCAAGACCCTCCCAACGATCACCTTGGGACAGAGCCTGCGACGCCGCTCAGGCCTTCTGCGCTCTACGTCGGCAGTTACGGACGACCAGTATATAGTTGGCGCCCTAGCAGGCGGACCCTTAGAGTTTCTTCTCTTTGGATCCTCCCCTGCTAGGTCGGTCCCTCCGTGTATTTCCGTAGCTTCTATTCACGCTTTGGATCCTCCCCTGCTAGGCTTTTCGTCGGAGTCTCCAGGGTTGCCCTTACAGTCATACCCCATTTCTTCGGGATAGCGCGTCGGCCCGACCGTTCGTTTTTCCCTGGCTCATGTAGCAAGGAGAAATGATACTCGCTTAGTTCGAGCGACCATCGTGCTTGTCGCCGATTCAACTTCTTGGCCGTCATGAAGTACTCCAGGTTTTTGTGATCAGTCCAGATGTCAAAAGGCTTTTCTCCCCCGTTTTGGAGGTAGTGACGCCACTCGGTGAGGGCCCGCATGATTGCGAGCATTTCTTTGTCGTGGATGTCGTAGTTGCGCTCGGTGTCCTTCATGGCCCGAGAGAGAAATGTGATCGGCACCCACTTCCCCTCCTGTTCTTGCGAAAGGATGGCCCCGGTGGCAAAGTCGAGTCCGCTTCGACCCTCCACGCCCCGTGATCCGTAGGGAAGTGTAGAACCGATTCGTCTGTGACCCGGTCTATCAGCGTTTGGAAGGCCTCTTCCTCCTCCAGTCCCCATTTCCATGGGCTGTCCTTTCGGGTCAATCGAGTGCATGGTTTGGCGTATGTGCCGAAGTCCTTGATGAATCGCCGGTAGAAGTTGAGGAACCCTTAAAGCTCGGCACGAGTGTCAATATCCGCAGATGTTTGCACAGGTACCTGCAGGAAAACATCCGTTCCCACGGATGCCAAGAGAAGTTTCCTAGGGTTCCGAACTCTAGGAAACTTTGAACCTCCCGCAAATTGCGGGGTCGGGGCCATTCGCGCACGCCTGCGACCTTTACCGGGGTCCATACAGAGTTGTCCATTCCCGACGATCACTCCGAGGTATTCAACTTTGTTCTGCTCAAAGTCGCACTTGTCCGGTTTCAGGTATAGCTGGTTGTCCTTCAGGATCCATAGGACCTCCTTCACCATTGTGCAATGTTCGGAGAGATTACTGATCCGCCGGGTTGCCAAGTCCTCTTTAATGAACGCGTCGAGCTCTTTTTGTTCTTCTCCTGATAGGGGAATACAGCACCCCTTAACAGGTTCAGCGTCCGGGTGCAGCTCGATGGCATGATCCCATTTCCTCCGTTCCGGGAGCTTGTCGAAATCCTGTTTTTCGAAGACCTCCTTGAACTCCTTCAAGTAGTGCGCTGGTACACTTTCCTCCATGGTTCGGGGTTTTTCGGCGGCGTAGGTGGCGGCGGCCAACTTGGTGGCCACACTCTGCATGGCCTGGATATGAGCGGGCGCGTTCGGTCCCTCATCGTATATCCGGGTGACAAAGAGGCGATCCCCTTTGCCCAGGGGTTTGTTGTCCTCTTCCTCCCATTGTTCCATTAGTCGGGCCCTTTTGCACTCGGGCGGGCATCGGGTGATACGGGGTTGTGCTCCTTGAGCCAGTGATGCCCGATGATCATGTCACTGTTCCCGGTGTCCGTGATGGCAAACATGAGAAGTTTGGAGTGATCCTGAATAGTGACCCGCAGGCGGGTGACGCCGGGCGTTGATTGTCCCGTCAGCGTTGTATACCGGGATGGGATGCAGCAGGGCCTGTTCAACTGCAAGATATCAACATTGAGATACAAAGGTTGCTATACTTACACTCTGTAGTTGCTATACCATGAATTCTTTACAATGGATATATAGAATTTTATTGAATATCACACCTAAGTACTGGGTATGATCACCATGGCCAGGACCTCCATGTCCCCCACCAGAGCCTTCCATTCCCCCAGTACCAATTGAAATAGGCAGTGCTTGTATTCTCAACTAGACATGACTGTACCAATGATATTCATAGAAGACATTGTGAGCTCCGTGAGGATGGTCGTGGTCAAGAGCAAGACTCAGTGGCCGTATTGTATTGGGATATGGATAGTATTGAGTTATAACCCAATATATTGAGTATATAGTAGAAAATGTATTGTTTTAGAATATTATTTCATATATTATAATCTTGATCATTATTAACTATCTAGCACAGTTGTGCCACATGACAACACCTTAGTTATAGATCCTAAGAGTCAAGAGCTGCTAAAAGATAATATTGAGGTTACCCAAGGCTTTGAATAGTCAAATATAATAGTAAAACAGTGAATACACAGATATCAGATTAAGAGGAAACTGGGTCATAAGATGAATGTCTTGCTGATAGTTGACTATAAAACACTTTTCTTGTTATAATATTTACAGTGCTTTGAGTGTGATCAAATTTCCTGATATGGAAATTTTAAAGTTTAACCCAGACTCATGATTGATATATGAGATATTATTGTAATTGGGCTATGGTGTAATTTCTATTGACGGTAATGTAACTGAAGATTTAATATAACAATAAGATTGTTTAGATGGGTCAGTATCTGAGTCAGTTTGAAGCTGTAGTTAAAGCAGCATCTGAAGTTGAGTCAGATATCAGTCCCAGAAAGCATAGTACTTAACAAAGACTTAGAAAATACCTCATCTGAAAGAATTTGATTTTATGACACCTTGTCTGACCCACAGATACTGCCTATATAGGCTTCGAAGAAAACTCAATAGTACTTATACAGTATATACTCCAAAATTTTTGCCACCCTGGATATATATATGGATTGTATTGGGTTATAACCTAATATATTGAGTATTGTATTCTATTTGGTTGGAGCCTTGATATTACAGTGATATCTTTCATGGATTTTCCTTCCGCACTTCATTGAGTGCTGACTCCAAGGTAATACAAACAAGTATAATTTCATGAGGTGAATGTTAACATTGTTACATGCTCCTCAGACTGCTACACCGTTAACAGCATCACCTGTAGAACCTTCCTCCTCCCCACTGACAGACCCCTCATGCGCATGTCCATTCCTCTTGGCGCGCTCTTCGTCTCTCTCTTTCTCAAGTTGAGCCTCTCGTTCCCTCCGCCGGCGCCGTCTGTCCTCGCGTTTTTTCGCCTTGGCCTCGGCGAGCGCCGCCTTCTCCGCCTCCTGCTGCGCGACCCACGCCGCGATGCCGGCGACCGCGGCCTCCGGATCGCGCTTCTGCGTGAGGAGATACCCCTGCACGTGTGCGATGGAGTAGGTGTGTGGCGGAATCGCCTGAGCGAAGGCCATCGCTAACGCATCCGCATCAAGCGACGCCGCAACTGCGGGAAAGAATCGCTTGAACATCTGACAGAGCTGGTCGGAATCGGCCAGCCGGTATTGGATCTATCTCAGTTGTTACTGCGCTCGACACAGGAGAAATAGTCAGCAGCTCTACCTTGACGTCCATCCTTCCCGGGCGTATCAGTGCCGAGTCCAAATTTTCAATATGATTTGTCTGCAAAAGTTAAGTGATTCCGCGCCAAAGGGCCTCCAGATACGCACCGTAGCGAACACCAGCCGACCTTCCTCACTCGACACCGAGTCCAAGACGTTAAGCAGGCCCGAAAGCGTGACGCTCGACCGTGGGATGATGGGCTGAGGGGCGTTGCGCGGCGGCAGCGGACGCCCGCTCTGGTCAAATACGGGCTGTTGCATCTCGTCCTCCTCGTCATCATCCTCGTCCTTATCACGCGACGGGAATGCACAGTCGATATCCCTCGGATAACGTATGAGCAACACCAAAGAGTTATGATGGGCAAAGACGCACTCAATCAGCATGATGCACCGTGCCGGCGTGTCGCTTATCAGTTTCGCCAGCGAGTAGTCGTCGACTCCGGGGTTCGCGAGCGAGACGAAGTATATTTCGAGGCCCAGCGCGCCAGCAAGGGCATGGATCGTCGAGCTTTTACCCGTTCCAGGCTCCCCATCTAGCGGCGTGTCAGAAAGCTTGGTCAGACGGACGGCAAATTGTCTACAGAGAAGATATCCGCGCCGGTGCGGAATTCCCGCATTGTTGTACCACTCTATAGCATGATTTAGGTTGACACAATGTCGATGACGCTTAAACACACCTTCGCTGGCCAAGAAATCGGTCGCATCTTGCAGCAGTGTCTCCTTGACTTGCGCCGGCAAGATAAGGGTATTCATCGGCCTGCGGGCTTTGGTCACAGTTTTCGCCCACTCTCCGCGCTGTGGGCGGATTATCAGTGGCCAAGTCCGGCGATGGGTCGCTGACGCACGTTATCCGCAAGATGCACAGTGACTCGGGATGCCCCATGTTGAAGATACGTCTGCCGCGCCGTCTCGATCAGGTCTTGCAAGACGGTCCTATCCGAGCTGTACAATCTGTATAATGAAAGATCAATAAAGGAAGGGAAGAAATCGAAATGAGCACCACATACGTGACACTGATGGACCCGCCGACATAATTGTTCGTTGTCCAGTTCAGCTGGCCGGCGTTGATGACGACTACAAGCCAGATCGACATCGACTATTTTGTTCTTGAGAAAGACGGACCTTGAAGCCAGGTCTTGCGGCCGGTATTGGGGCTCGTGAACAGGACTTGTTGCCTCGTATCGCTCCCCGGGAGATATCGTACAGCGTCATTCGGCCCCTCCGCCCAGCTGAGGTCGGACTGCTTTGTGCTAATCGTGAAGTGTGTTGCACCTGCGAGGGCTTTTGTCGAACGCTAAACGGATTCACATCGTCTTCTGGCATCAGAGAAATGTCAACGCACGAGGTAGGCGAGCATCCAGTCGAACGCGCTGTCCGATTGGTTGAAGGTCGCTCGAGTGAGCGCACCGCTCTGGATCTTTTTCAGTCCGGTTAACGAACATGATGATACACGCACGGGCTCCTTATCCAATTCGTTCACACGCCGCGGAAGAACGCTGGATTGCACGTAGAACTCGCGTGCAGCATCCACGAAGTCATCCAAGATCTGCCGTTTGCGGCTCCAGATGCTATGTGGCATGAATTCAACGCGACGGGTTAGAATCTGGCGACGTACGCGATGATAAGCCTGCCCCCAACCTCTTCGCCCGTGTCATAGTGGGCATACCCGGCCGTGGTTTTCGTCTGCAGGTTTATCGCCTTCAGAATAGCAAACAGGGAAGATCGGGGTGCGCACCACAGTGATCCAGTACCCGCGCCAGCGAAACAGCGTGGGTGTCATCTGTGTCGGCTCGTAAATGGGGTCGGGATGCCCGTCTTTCTCCCCGAGCGCCGGCTTTCCAAATGGGAGGGGACGGAGCCCGGCGTTGGCGTTCCGCGCAATGACCTTGAAGGCCCGGCTCGAGTGCCAGACATGTTGGCTATCGAGGTAGACGGTGCACCAGTCGTATGCAAAGTCCAGCGTCGTGAACTCTGCCTGCACCCGGAAGACTGTGTGACGTCAGTATGAAGCGGGTAGCCACAGGTCAGACACGCACAGTCGGTAAACGAGACTTGCAGCATGGAAACGAGCTGGCGGCCGGCCTCCATAACAGTGCCGAGGAAGACGAATCGAAGAAGGTCTCCCGCATGTGGGCTTGTGAGTAGCTGCTGGACGGCCGAAGTCGCCAGAGTAACCGGGGCGCGCCAGAGGAAGAGGACGGCCAAGAAGGCGACGAGCACTGTGAGGAGGAATTCGTGCATCGTGGGTGCGGCCAGCCACATTAGCAGCCGCCAGGCTTAAGTACCCAGTGCTGTGGAACGTGGACATGCCGCGAGGCAAATCCTACACTGCCTTCTGGCGTCAATCAAAGTGGGAGTCAAGGGCTTCCGCTTACATGAGTGCTTCCACAGCGACACGTCACCAAAAGCTCCGTGATGACCGGGGCGCTCTGACATCATGACGCTTACGATTCTACGAAAGGCACACATCTTGGTGCGGCAGGCGGCGGCGCCGTGGCGCTGGCCTGAACTAAATAGTTGTCTCGGCATTCTAACAATCCGATTTGTTGGATCTTGGATGGCAATGATACCAGGGATTCAGCCAAAAAGATCGCCTGAAGTAGGACTCTTTTGGGATAAATACAAGTCCAAACAAATAGGACTGATCTTCCCCATTGATTTTAAGCTTTGCACATGTTCTAGGCATGCTTAGCCAATCATTCTCGTTTTTTTTCTGGTTTGCTGCGCACTTGACAAGGCCTGCTACTTTATATAATATAGTATATTATGATACTGTAGCATTTTAATCAATTCAGCGCCCAAAATGTGTGTGTGACATTGGCGCCGAATTGAAATTTTCAGTGTCCGAGGCCTCCGAGATGATTGAGTTAACAACAATATTGAGTTAATAAGTTTTATTAATATCTCTTAACAAAGATATTAAGTAGCATTTTGTACTGGGATCATTTTCCCAACATTCTGCAACTTTTTCAATTTTGGGGGTGGAGGGGTCGGGAGGCATGTCGAGCGCATCGGGTACAGAAAACAAATAGTTTCCACAAAGGGAAAACTTTATACAAACTGGTTGCCTTTGCGGAAACCATTTGTTTCCTGTGATATAGATTTTTGTGCAAAAAGTAGTACTTTTTAAATCAACTTTTGGGAGTAAAAATCCCGCTAAACTCCGGAGTGAGTAGATGACATCAATGACACCGCCATTATGTTGCGATCATCAAGTTTTGTCAGAAATCAATTTATTTCATCAGAATTGATGAAGAATTGAGCTCACCATTGAGGGCAACATCGAGGACAATGACAGCGGCGGTGTAAGGGCAACCCTGGAGACTCCGACGAAAGCCTAGCAGGGGAGGATCCAAAGAAAAGAAACTTTAAGGGTCCGCCTGCTAGGGCGCCAACTATATACTGGTCGTCCGTAACTGCCGACGTAGAGCCGCAGAAGGCCTGAGCGGCGTCGCAGGGTCTGTCCCAAGGTGATTGTTGGGAGGGTCTTGACAGATCGGTGATTGTGCGGGCGAAGGAGGCCGTGGACGATGGTCGGGGTGGGTCGGAGCGTCCAAGGGGGCGCCGGTCGGATGTGCCTCGGATACGCTCGGATGGTCCGAAGCAGGGGTTCCCCTGACAGGCGGACTATTTGACAGCAGCAGGGGGGGGTGCCTGACACTGGCGGGCAAGAAGTTCCCAGCCGACAACAGTGGGCGGTGATCGGCGATGTCAATCAGCAATTGGTGACATAAGTCATGATTGTGATGACGACGCTGAGGCCATGGGGGTGGCGGCAGGCAGTGCACACAGTGGGCAGGGGCGGGGAGGCAGCCGGGAAGGTGATGGCAGGATCCAGGCCTCTTTCCCCGCTACCAGGGTCCCGGGGGGTAAAAAAAACTTTTTGTATATAAAAGATTTGGGCCTTATATGGGTGTAAAGCTAATTTCCATAGTCTCACTAATCCTGCCCAGTCCCACTGATTTGTGTCCCATCAGTGGGATTCGTGCAGTCAAATGTGACACATGCACAAGTCCCACTGATCAACGGGATTGTCGCGGGTCTACCGGTTGTGGCGCCCGGCCACGGCGGCCGGGGTTTTCCACCCTGACCAGGGCCTTGCCCTGGACCCTCCCTGCCGGGGGCTTTGCTCGCCGCGGGGGCCCGCTGCGCGGATCATTATCCCCCCCCTTCTTCCCCTTTTCTGCCGTTCCCGGGTTCAAACATCTGGTTCCACACTGGGTTGCGGCGCCTGTCACGCGTTCAGCTGGCTGTAACCCACCTTGGGAAACAGGACTTGATACTCGGGTACTCCTGGCTCAAAAAGCATAATCCCGAGATCAACTGGGAAACGCAGGAGGTGAAAATGAGCCGCTGCCCCCGAAGTTGCTCCACCTGCCGCGACGAGGAACGGACCGAGCGCGCTGAGGTTCGGCACCTCCGACTCCTTAAATCGCGCTTGCTTTGCGGGTGCCTTCCCCACCATTTGCGCTATCGATATCACTGGCCCAGACGACGACGACGACGACGACGAACTCGGAGCTACTTCGGACCCGAGTCCCTCACCAGATCTCGACGACGACGAGCATCTGGAAGACGGCGACCGCATCTTCTACACCTCCTTTCGCCCAATCGAGGAGATTCGCGCTGGGAGCACCGTGTCCCAACGCCTTGCAGAGGCCTTCGCCCGTAACTCGGCCCCTCCGCCTTCGGAAATTCCGGACTGGGCCAAGGAGTTCCAAGACGTCTTTGACAAGGAGTCCTTCGACACGTTACCAGAGCGGAGGGCTTGGGACCACTTATCAACAGGCTCAAGGGTGCCCGTTATTTCACTAAACTCGATGTTTGTTGGGGCTTCAATAACGTCCGGATTAAAGAAGGAGACGAGTGGAAGGCGGCCTTTCGGACTAACCGAGGGTTGTTCGAACCTTTGGTGACGTATTTTGGCCTGACAAACTCCCCCGCGACCTTCCAGACGATGATGAATGACATTTTCCAGGATCTCATTCTTTCAGGAGACGTTATGATCTACCTCGACAATATCCTTATCGCACATTCGGACCTCCGTAAGCACCGCGAGATCGTCCGCGAAGTCCTTCGGAGACTCCGAATGCACAAGCTGTACCTTCGCAAGGAGAAGTGCGACTTCGAGAAATCGTCGATCGAGTACCTGGGGGTTATCATCTCTCACAACCACGTCGAAATGGATCCCGTTAAGGTTGCCGGAGTCTCCGCATGGCCTCCGCCCGAGAACAAGAAGGACGTCCAGCAGTTCCTGGGGTTTGCTAATTTCTACCGCAGGTTCATTCGGGATTTCTCGGCCCTCGCGCAGCCTCTCTTTGCGCTCACCAAGAAAGACCAGAAATGGACCTGGGGAGACGCTGAAGCCGCCGCCTTTCAAGCTATCAAAGACGCGGTCACCTCGGAACCGGTCCTGGCGATTCCGGATGACACACGGCCTTTCCGACTTGAGGCGGACAGCTCTGATTATGCGACGGGGGCGGTTCTTTCACAATCCGCCCCGGACGGGAAGTGGCACCCTGTAGCATTCTATTCCAAAAGCTTAAATGATGTCCAGCGCAACTACGAGATTCACGACAAGGAGATGCTTGCGATCATCCGTGCACTCGAGGAGTATCGGCATTTCCTCGAGGGCGCCGCGCATCCGGTCGAGATCTGGACTGACCATAAGAATTTGGAGTATTTCCGAAAGGCACAGCACCTTAACCGTCGGCAAGCCCGATGGTCGTTGTACCTTTCTAGGTTTGACTTCACGCTGCACCATGTCCCAGGTCGCCAGATGGGCCGCCCCGACGCTCTCTCCCGCCGGCCTGACCACGGCATCTCCGAAGACAACTCGGACGTCACCCTCTTGCGCCCTGAGCTCTTCCACGTTCGTGCACTTGAGGCCGTCACTGTCTCTGGGCCTGGGTCCGAACTTGTCTGCGACATCAAGGAAGCGCTATCCGGTGAGCCTGACCTAGAGGAGCCCGTCGCGCTTGCGGCCCGGCAACTCTTGAAGGTCCGAGGTCAAGTTCGGGGCCCCCGCTCATCACGTTCGGACGAGTGGGCCGACTTGGGCGATCTCTTGTACTTCCGCGGCAAGGTTGTAGTCCCCAAAGACAAGGACCTAAGGAGGCGCATCATCGAGCTCTGCCACGACACGCGAGTCGCCGGACACGCCGGTCGGTTCAAAACCCTAGAACTGGTTTCGTGCAACTACTGGTGGCCACAGATGTCCTGCCATATCGGACGCTACGTCGCGACCTGCGACTTGTGCTGCCGCACGAAGGCCCTCCGAAGGCTCCCGCACGGAGAGCTACACCTGACCGAAGTCCCCCCCGAACGCTGGCACACCGTCACGGTGGACTTCATCGTCGAGCTCCCCGAGGCTCACGGGTACGACGCGGTCATGGTAGTCGTCGACGCTCTTGGCAAACGCGCTCACTTCACTGAGTGCCATACGACAATAGACGCGGTCGGAGCCGCCCGGTTGTACTATCAGAATGTCTGGAGGCACCACGGAACCCCCCGAGAAGTACATTTCGGACCGTGGTTCGCAGTTCATCGCTGACTTCACGCGCGAACTCTGGCGCTTAATTGGCGTCAAACCGGCCACCTCTACGGCTTACCACCCGCAAACCGACGGACAAACCGAACGCGTTAACCAAGAGCTCGAGCAGTACATCCGGATCTTCACCAACTACCAACAAGACGACTGGGACGAGCTTATCCCTGCCGCTGAGTTCGCCTATAACAACCACGTTCACTCCTCCACTCAACAGGTACCCTTTATGACGGACACTGGTCGGCTCCCCCGAATGGGTTTCGAGCCAGGCGTCCACTCAGAGTTGGAGTCGGTAAACGAGTTTCGCGATCGGATAGCTAACGGCGTCTCCGAGGCAAAGGACGCGCTCGTTAAAGCCAAAGACAAGTATAAACGGTACTACGATCGGAAACGGTCGGACGCTCCGAATATTCAAGTTGGTGATAAGGTTTGACTGGACGCTTCTGACATCAGAACGACTCGGCCCTCCGAGAAGTTCTCCCACAAGCGCCTCGGACCGTTCAAGGTGCTCGCAGAGGTTAGCAAAGGTGCCTACAAGCTCGACCTCCCCCCGCGTTACTCCAAGCTCCACCCCGTCTTCCCCGTTGTTAAGCTCGAGCCCGCTCAGGACGACCCTTTCAATGGACGACCCGGCTACGACGAACCGCCCCCTGAGCTAGAGGATGGAGTCCCCGAATGGGAAGTCGAGGAAATCTTGAATGCCAGGATAAGGTAT